TCATTTAGGATGATTTATATTTGTGGTGGCGTATAATCGAATGAAGGATTAAGTTCGTAGATATTAAATTGTAATTTCGTGTAGTTACGTTTTGTTAACTTTATAGGTCATCTTTATAATTGCTTTGTACTGTATCCTTGTATTTCTGTGACAGGTTTATATTACTGTCATTTTGTATTCCATGTATGACATTATAAACTTATTACTTATGATACATTTTTATTTACAATTGTATAAGCAAGGATATAAAACCATACAGACTAATTTTCTTATGGTATTTTGTTAGAATATAATTTGGTATCATATCTGAGATTAATAAAACCCTAATTGTAGTCATAAAAGCTTCCAGTTTATATACCTATATAAGTACCTCTATGTACAATGCCATATGTAAATACTTGTAGTATTTAATCGTTGAAGAAAGTTGGAAAATCAGAATATTTGCGTAAATTAATACAGGTATAACTACAGTTTTATTTTTTAATACATTTTGCTTATGGTTATAGACAGTTACTTCTGCAATTATCTTTGAATAGAATATATGTTTACAACATAAGATGTCAATTGACATATTTTTTTGCACTTATAGATAAATTACTTCAATCAAAACTAATTTAGTACATATATTCGAAATCAATTCAAAAAGGACTAGATAAATTTTACTGTACTAAAAAAATGGAAATTCCTCCTTTACGAAATCGGTTTATTACTTATTGATTACCAAGTAGCGTGATGTTGACAAGGGATATAGTCAATACAGCGTAACCGTAAGTCATCAAGGTATATTATAGGTAGACATAGAGACAATTTCACTATAAGCAATTACCATACAGTCTGTATATATGTATATGAAATAACAATCATGAGCTTCATATTTAATTCCATAGATAAAAGAGACATAAAAAGAACAATACGTACTATCTACTCATTATAGGAGAGAATGGGTATTAGATAATCTTTACTACATAATATGGCACCCAACAATGCTTTTGTAATGTTCATTCAAATGATTATAAATAACGATAAATCCTCTTACAATATGGTACAAAATCATTACACCACTGAGGCCGTTCAGTGGTCTAATGATTTTGTATACCGCCTTACTTTTGATGGTCGCAGGTTTGATTCCTCGCACAAATTTGTATTAATTAGTATGATTGTTTGTATCTGTATGGGTGTTTTCTATGTATATTATTTATGTATTTATAAAAAATGTATCTATGAAATGAAAGTTAAATAAAAAAAACTCTTACTCATACATAGAAATAAAATAACAATTACATAATTTAATATGTATACTAAATATAAAAACAACACAATTACAATACAAAGGTAGCAATGACGGCCTTATCGCTAAACAGCGATTTGTTCCAGTATATCAGTTGTCTAGTACCTATAACCCAAGCTATGCATAGCTTAGGACTAGATGGCAGTATAAGATTGTCCTGAGATACCATTATTAAAAAAATCTTCCCTATTCCCGCCATTGAACGAATGAATGAATGAAAATTACAACACAAACTATTATGTATTGTTCCCCGCTCTACTAAATATTGTTTCGCATCTTGACAGCTCGGTTTATGACTCAATACGGGTGTAGTGCGTAATTGTGTATGCATTGCACGAGGACAAGTTTCTTTTATCTATAATAAGATTCCAATTCGGATGGTCTGATGTCTCGTGCTCCCTAAAGTAATAAACTAGTAATAGTGCTCGTTGGTGGTGCGTTTCCATTGATTGGCGGATTTGTTATACGGCTTTTGTATTGAATGACGTATCGTTGTTGTTTTATAGTAATTAAATTGATCTTGATTATTTCCATCTTAATATTCTTTATCGATGTTTAAAACATGTAAAAACAACTAAAAACATTTAGCAGTAAATCAGTTGTTATATAAAATTATATATTGTATACTGAATATTATTTGTTTATTTTCAATTACGTAATTTATAAAAAAAAAACCTTATATTCTGCAAACTAAAATATATCAGTAGGGTTACAATTTTTTTTTAAATTGAAGGTATCCAATATTCATTTGAAAGTGATTAAGTATGATAAATAATTGTTGTTATTATATTACTGCTAAACATATAATATAAAAAATATATAGTACTGTATAAATTATTACGATAATTATTATTATTATATATATATATATATACTATATTTGATATGAAACGACTATAATAAATAAAAAGAACCATATTATAATTTATTACAAATACATTTTCATAAACGCTTTTTGACGTATGATTACATCGTGTATTGGACACATGTACAATTGCGTACACGATATACGTGAATTTGTAGAACAAATATAAATTGTTGAGGGTAGATCGAGGGTTGATAATTACATTTTTTTGATCTTCGGAAACTGGGGTTGACGTCAACGCTGCGGATTCATAAGGCCTCTGTATTAAACTTGTTTTGATAGTGTCAAAGATAGAGATGGAGATAGACATGTATAAATAAATAGGAATGGTATATATATATATTAAATATAATCATAATACAGATAACAAAATCCGTGAGCCGTATCTTAGACTTAAAATATTATACATTGTATTTATGTTACCGAGGTTAAAAAATAGATTTTAGAATTTTTGCTTATTTGTCTGTGCATTTATGTTGATATGTTTTCATGTAATAATACTATATCATATGTAACTATAGGAAATTAGGTTGTTTACAGTATATTATTATTACCTATCTACGTTATTTCTGTATATACTCCAATAATATAAAATGATCTTTAAAATTTTATTAAAGCAGCTCTCAAACAATTAGACGGAGAGAACAAAGAAAGAGTACTATTAGTACATTTTGTCTATTATTTCTTTTGTTCTACAGATGTCTAATAAAAACAACATGCAGATATTTATTAACATGTTCAGTTACAAATCCATAACATTTTTATCTTTGACTAAATAACGGATAATATTTCTCACTTGAAAAACAAGTCCTAAGGTGCCAAGAGCCAGGCAAAACCATAGTCCTTCAGTATTCCTGTATTTAGATATAAATATATTAATTATTGAATGGGTCTAAAAATTACCCTCTAGTAAATAATATAGTCATATTAGTGCGATAAGGAAAAATATGAATAGTAAAAACTTGACGTTCATAAGCGGCTATAATGTCCAATGAATAAATGATTTTTAATAATAACTTTATGCAGATTCAATGACAATATTATACAAATTAAAAAAATTCCAGCCCAATTTTGCCCTCCAAAACTAAGACTAGACTAGATACTCTACTTAGTAGAATACCGAAATTATATTTTGAACTTTTCACATTAAATTGATCACGTGACTGTGCAATTTCTATGAAGGTTTAAAAAAATAATTTCAATTTTCGACTTCGTTTTCTTTGCGGAAGTTATTCAATTTCATGAATACTGTCCTTGGCTTTCTGCTTGTTATACTTTTACGACCCTATTTATTGATATTAATTTCTGTAACTGCCTTAAAATGCCTCTAGGGCATTCTCAGGATGGTCATTTATTTACCAAAGTTTGTATTATCCATGCAAAAAAGTGATAAAGTTAAAAAGTACTTAACACTTTTTTTAGGGAAAAGTGAAGGTTTTTTATAATTCTAATTTTAATCTTATACCGCTGGGGGAAGAGAATTTCTAGGAGTAATGGGAATTATTAGATCTATTGCTGGAAATATTCCTTGTCAGTTTTATCTCCAGACGGTACTTCCTGGATTAGTAATCCCTAGTTCATATGCTAACTGATGCGGCTTCATCCTCGTTCTACCAACTTCACTGGCGCATGGCACTTCGCCAGCGTTATATATTTAGCAGGATTGCACCACTTAAAATTCATCCATTTAAATACAACTTGCCATAGATTGTGAGTATACGACAATAATAATACCATCCTGTACAATCCGCATAACGCCATCTAGTACTAAGTTAAGCAGAGCTTGTGTTATGGATACTGGACAACTGATAGAAATTCTTATATTCTTTATTTTGGTAAATATATATATAATATACATAGATAACAGCCGGCCCAATACTATCACACTCATATATACAAATGTTTGCATTGTGCAAGGAATCGAACCCGCGACCGTCAGAGTGAGGCGGTGATCTAAACCGCTGATGTCGTCAGTGGTATAAGGTATCGTAGGATATCTGTCGTGCCTTTGTGTGACCTGTCTTTGTTCTTATCTTTTACTAGTAGCCTACTGGCGTATTACAGTACAGGCTCATCGCTATTTCATAATCACCGCCAAAAAAATCTGCAAACAATCTATAGACGCCAGAGGAGTATGATTGTAATTTCTTTCCTAAATAAAATAAATTTCTTTCATAAATAAATAAATTGTCTATGGGTAGACAATTTATTTTATTTATGAAAGAAATTAACAAACTTTTTACGTGACTGAATACTAGTCTGCCCTTTGTAGTAATTATAATATTAAAAAAAACTCGTGGTATATTTAGTACGCGCTAGGTATATTTATTACTGGCAACCTTGTTTTTTGTAACGTAATAAATATAAATCTATTTTCTACTAGATCTCAAATGTTAATATTGACGAAAGACTAGTAATGTAATATATTAATTACGGTATATTAAATACAATATAAAGTAGTAAGTATTAAAAAATGTCCAAAAAGTTATTAAAATAATTCTATGTCAGAATGAACAATATAGTTTTAATTTATATCAAACTTAAAGTCATAGTAAAATTTTCTGTTTAATAAATATAGATATGAACACTTTTAAAAACAATGTATGTAAATTAATATACATTTTCCTATCTTATAACATATATACTTCCTATACTTGTTGTTTTCTGCGGTAGTAGCATACTAGTTATGTTTCTGTTAGTTACAACTTTATTTTAATAACATTTAACAGTACATTGAATACAAGAAAGTTTATAAAATAATTAGTGTTAAATGCCGGCAATCTCTATTAATACTGAAACAACCATAAAAACACAAAAGATAATAAATAAAGATAAGACAATCCTTACCTAATAGCTTCATTACTTCAACCTTACTGATGAGTACATTGAGATGACCCGTTGCCAATGGTAACGCGAGCCATACCGCCCACACTATAATAAGTCTTTTGGCCGCCATCGTATCACTTCACTTTCCAGTCATTTCAATTTCACTTTTGAGTGCATTTTAACACTTAAGTTCTTATAAATACATCATTATTATGTCGTATCCATAACTTAAATTTTATTACAAGCCTGCAAAAACATAACCAAAATAATTCTAAATTTAAATTTACTTTCACAACTAATATAAAAACTTAAAAAAGGAACTTAACTCTTTTCAACCAAGAATATAATTAAAAGTTTAATATAGAATGTAAACTAAATACAGTGTAAAAAGTTTAATGATAAAAAAATAAAAGGTTAAAAGATACGTAAAATCGAGAACTGTTTTCCCGGAACCGGAACGCGCCAGCCCAGGTACAGTAGGGCGCGAGCGAAGCGCCGCACTGCCGCTCTCAAACACTCTACGAGCCAACAAGTTACTTACTGACATGCGCCCTACGATCGTATTTACCGCTTTAGATCATAATACATCGACGAATCTATCTAGAGCCGTAACAGAATTAGAACCGAGTGCTCGATGTATTGCGAACTTTTTTCGAAACTTGAAGTCAAAATGTGTTTAAATTTTGAAAGGCTTTCATTGAGAGCGACTCCTGTTTTAAAGGTAATTAATTGAGTTTGTCTCTAGGGAAGGCGATTCCGTTTTGCATTAGACCCGACGTAACAGAATTACTCTTTTCATAGAGTGCCAGTTCAGTCTTCAATACGTTGCTGTATTAATACAATTAAACAACTGACAATCTCAGACGCGATATAGTGATCCGTTTAGTACGCTATTTTGAATACTAGTATCCCATTCTGACTTTGTTGGGGCACGTAATTTGATTAGGAAATTTAACTTTGTTGCATATTTGACAAGATAAATCTACTTTATGTTGACATATATGTTATGGAGAAAACTAACTACATATTTCATCAAATCGTTTAATTTAAAAGAAATGCTATGGCAGTCATACCGAAAGTCACCGAACTAGATAACCAATTTAAAAAAAAACAATTCAAATTAACGATGAAAGATCTACGTTGCAAGTTTTTAATACTGCCTTAATATAACAAAGGTAGTCCAAATTATATGTATATTAAGTAAAAGAATAGAAGTGCATCTTAAAACAAACCATTAACCAATCTAACAATGGCTCAACCAACGGTATGATGAAGATTATATGGTTAAAATTTAATTGTAACATTATAAGAGCTAATATAGCCAAAGTTATTATATAATATTAATTGAATTAATATATAATCTTACTAATATAGTTTTTAAATTATTTTGTTACTAACACAAATGGATCATGTTGTCCGATATAAATAAATTATTATTATAATTATTATTAAAATATATTAATTATTAAAATACAAATAATCGATCTTAATTCACGTTCTTAGGTTTTACTGAAATTATAAAAGGAACTACTATAAAAAATGTAACATATAAACTTATATTGCACTAGCCGCATTATCAAGTACAATCTATATTCCTTAAAATAAAATTAAAGTGATTACAACATTATCTGATAATGAATGGTTGTCATGAGATATTTTATAATTATATGCGACCAGTCTCCTAAGCATAAAGACCTCTATATTATAATATACATAGGGTAGAATGCAAATGTTATCAGCTTCTGTTCTTGTTTAGTAGTTACATACAACAAAACTGACAGATTTTTCGCTCCTCATACATCAAGCAACCGCTAGTTTCCTAGCGCCATGTTGTTGCGGATTAGCTTCTGCGGGGAATGCATAAGTAATCGAATCCCACACCGCTGGCGGCTTGGCAGCCTGGCACTGATGGATGGCATTGGTTAATAAACGAGAAGTTACTAAGAACCTGATTACATACTGTATTAGACTTCTTTACACAATCAAATTTCGCTCATTTATTATGATTCAATTTCCAAAAATTATATTTTTTTTCATACATATATATGTATATACTCTTCAACATTGATATTCTCTATAAAACTCGATAACATCACTATATCTTTGAAAAGAAATTGTTGATACTCTATTATCAATAATATTTGCAGCCTACACGATATAAAAAGTTCAGGTATTTTTTTAACTCATTGAAGTTAAGTCAGTTATCGAAGTTTTCATACGCATCCGAACCATTTTTTGAAAATATTCTATCGCCTCTGTTCATCAGGTAAAATGTACAATTCTAATGGTAAAAGGATATTTCATATCAATATAAACAATCAAATCTCTTTATAATGTTAGTCTAGATAGAAAATTTTATGTTTTTTTACCTATGTCACTTTTCTTAAAAGAATGGTAACATGGTAAAGCAATGTATGCAACATTGTTTTATGAATAGGAATAGATATTGTTTCCCTAAAAATCGTCATTAATCACCGGCATTCAAAATACAAGGTACGGACAAAAAAAGTTCATATCTGGTGGTATGCGTGGTGCTCTTCTAGAAACGAGATTCTAACTCATAGCGGTGCCCCCACACTAGTCACCCATCAGCCAGGAGTTGACCTCTCCATAAGTCCTGCTAGAGATTTGGAGCACTATCTGCACTTGCTCCTTACCATTAGGTTAAGCTGTAAAGGCCAGCTGCAGCCAACTGTATTATAATAGTTCGAAGAAAAATCACATGTAGTCCGACAGCTTTTTTATCATTTCAGTCGTATAAAAAAGAGAATCAATTCGCTTTAAAGATCTTAAATTAGTACTGATAATATATTAATCACATCGTCCACTACTCCCTGGAGTATATATATATATATTGTTACCCACAGAAGGGTAGATAACTATTTTCTCATATCAATCATATAAGAAAGACAAGTTCTTAAATTAATACTTATAATATATTAAGCATATACCCTCCACACCCTGGTTATTACGATAATTTTAAAGTCTAAACTTACCCATTCTCATTATTGAGTACATTCCCCATTGGTAGTAGACATCTGTTTAGCTAAACTTGTGGTAATCGATACTGATATTACTTACAAATATATAGCGTAGAGATTATTCACACATCAGTCAGAGCAAGCGTCTCGAGACAGCCTTACCCCACAACGAGTGCACCCAGCATCAAAGCGCAGTCTCTCGGAAAATTCTGGAACTCACGCGGGCATGAAGCATGCACGCTCGGTGCAAACTTTTTGCATGGTTTCCTTTTTACAATTTTGTACGGAAAATATTATCGAACAACTAGTCTAGATGTGTAATTGCTGCTTTCGTATTTTCTTACTTGTGGAATAAAAGAAAAACAAAATTTTCAGGAAGATAGAAGGAAGAGAATTGTATTCAGTTACCATACGTAGCCAGGGCAAAAGCCTTTGAAAATGGTAAAAAGTAAAAAAACAACAGTTGTAGAGTACTGTGTCTACTATTAAATTTAAATTAATATTCCTTAAGGGGGTCTTCCTATGTGATGGGTTGAAAAAATCGATTTTTTTTTTTTCATAAATTGCTCCCTTAACATGTCTAGAATACGGTAGTAAAGCGATTTTAGAAAATTCGAAGTCGTTTTAAAGATACAGCAGGTAAAAGAAAGAGCGGTTCGGAGCGGTGAGTTGGCAGTTAGAGACCGGGCCTATTGTGTACCGTCGGCTTTATACCTGGCCTCCCTTTTATTAATATATTTGTTTATACAAGTTTAGACACGTTTCTACAGACTTAAACAGAAATTAAGGAATAGGAGGAAAAGGAGCAGGTAAACTTACTGATAAAGTTATCCAAGAAATTACAAAATTCTACGGATTAGCAATTCGACGCCATCCAGATTCGCTTGAAGATATGAGAAAGGAAGTTTGGGCAACGTACTATCACAAATGTTCTTCTGATGAAAACCCTCAGCATCAATTTTGTCCAGAAGGCGAAGACAGTTGGTGTAAATGGCGTAAGGCTGAAGCTAATAATGAACTGGACCAATTTCATCACGATAAACCACCTCTAATTCCGCAAGTCCAAGAAGCTATCAAACCGGTTTTCGAAGATTTATCGAAAGACGAATTATTAATTCGTTGTTTAGGAGCAGAGACACAAAACAATAACGAATCTTTGAATTCTTTGATTTGGACTTTCGCTCCTAAACATCTTCATTCTGGTCCCAAAGTTGTTGAAATTGCTAGCTACTTAGCAGTTATTATCTTTAATGGAGGTTTTCAAGGTATTTTAAAAGTTATGTCGATTATGGGATGCCCTGTTGGTCGTGAAGCCCAAGCGTATGTTGAGAAACGGGATGAAAAGCGAATCTTACGCTCTGAGCGGCGCGTAAGTGATGTCGTTAAACAAGCCAGGATTGACTCAAGAGCTGAACAATCTGCTTTAAAAGAGTTTCACGAGGAAGAGGAAGGAATACTCTATGGACCAGGCATCGCCGATTGAGAGTAAGTTGATATTTTAATAGTTTTTAACGGACTTGAAACTTTAAACGCGTTTTCTCAAAACTGTGTTTTTCAAACTTTCCTCCATTGTATCTCAGAAACGGCTGGACCGAATTACTTGAAATTTACAGGGCACACTCAATATATGTAAACGCATGGAATGAACTATTATCAATCGAAAATTTTCAAAACTTCGATTTTTTTATAGCAAAAAACAAAAAAAAAAACGCCTAATTTGCAACTTTTATTTCAAATGTCTATCAAAAATCCAATTTTTTTTATATTCATTTGATTATAGGTCATTCCGTGCTTTTAAGCCTACAAATTAAAACGCCGTTTTTTTTTTTTTCAGATAAGCCGATCAGCCGGAATCGTGGAGGAAGTGGGAGCTCTTTTTTTCGAGGCGGGGGTGTTCAGAGCGCTGTAACTCTAGTTTGACTGAATATTTTTAGCTGAAATTTTATATTTATACTGTCCAAATATGTGTTAATAAATGATAAAAAACTTGAAGCTCTAAATATTTACTGGTCGTAGAAAAAAAATCCTAAAATATCCCTAAAAAACAGGCCGTCACATAGGAAGACCCCCTTAACAATTTTCATGAGTTTATTATAAAAAATCACTACAATTTCATAGCCATGGCGATGTAGCGGTTTAGCACACCGCTTTATTTCCGATTGTCGCGGGATCGAATCCTTGCACGGTACAAACATAAAAAAAACTTTCTTAGCTTAGGACTAGATGGCGGTCTGTGAATTGTTCTGACATATTTATTAT